TCAGAAGCGGCTATTATGATTTTTATGTGTGCATTACTGAAGATTAACTCAATCCTCATCTTAATAAAAGAAAACTCTCTTTATGGTGTTTCAACCCGAGTTTCGCTTTTTAGAGTTTAATATAGGAATAGCCGAGGTCCATTATCTTTACAAGTGGAACCTTAGCTCCACTGCATACTTACTCTTCTGAACTAGATATACCATTTCCTGTAAAGCTAGAGAATGATCATGTAATCGATAAATTAAATAGAGTTTTCGTTGGAGTCCTTATGAATGATTTAGATGATAACAAAATTACCTTCTCATTTGATAAGAGAGATGATCAAAATTTTTTCCTAGCATTTGCAAAGACTTTATCCCGAATATTCACAAAAGTTCAGTAAGGAGGAATTCTAGTATTTCTTCCATCTTATACAGTATTGAAAAAAGTTCATAAAGTTTGGAGAGCTCATAAACTCTTTAAGGAACTGTTCAAGGATAGAGAGATATATATAGAGCCTTAAGATTAAGTTAAAAATAATGCTTTGTTGGTTGAATACAAAAACAGTATCAAAGCAAAAGGTAAGGCTGTATTTATTGCTGTTTGCCGAGGTAAATTATCAGAGGGAATAGATTTTACAGACAATGTAGCTAGATTAGTTATAATGGCTGGAATTCCTTATCCATAGATTTACGATCCAAGAGTGATAACGAAAAAAGATTATTTGGACAGAAAATATGCTTAGCAAAAATCATAAATTAATGGGAATATGTGGTACAAATTATAAGCATGCAGAGCTATAAATTAGGCGATAGGCAGAGTAATCAGGCACGTAAATGATTTTGGAGCTATAATTTTAATGGATGAAAGATATAAGTCGCATAACATTGAAATATCGAAATGGCTTAATCAAAGAAAACAATTTTATTCCTATTTGCCAGAATTAGAAAGTGATCTAGAAAGGTTTTTTATTGCTAATGGTTGTTCAATGGAGCCATTAAAGCAGGATGAAATAAAATTTAAGCAGGGAAGAAAGAGATCTTCTAAGGCGAATTCAAAGCTTGTTATAAAAAGTAATAAAGGGACTCCAAATTCAAACCTGTAATCAATGCAGATTAAATATGAGTATGACATGCCAAATTTATAGAACTTTGACTCTGAAACGAGTTCTCCAGATAAACTTCAATCCTCTACAGTCAAGACAGAAGCTGAATAGTTACAGGAGAGAATGACTATAATGAGCTCAATAGTTTCAACTGGATTTCAAAAGGCAAGTGGAAATATGGCGAATGCAAGATTAAAATAAGAGGGCAATAGACTTTACAGGGATGATTATGATCAAGGGGAGTTTTTTGCAGAGAAGCTAGAATTCGATGGAGAACCTAAGCAAGCTAATAATCAGCAAAAGAATTTCGAAAAAAGGAGTGAACCTATAATATATGCGAATAATCAAATGACTCTTGATCATTTGACTGTAAGTCCCAATAAGTATATCAAATCAGATACTGGTGATACAGGTTAGAATATTCAAAAAATAACTCCTCCAAGGAAAATCTTGATTGAAGGAATAAAAAGGACAAGTTAATTGACTACTAAAGGCTATTAAAAAAGGCCATATAAAAGAAACAATAATGCAACTTCAAATGAAGATGATTCTAACTAATTGTACACCGAAACTAAATACAGACTTGACAATGGCCAGAATACGAATTAATGATTTAATCCAATTTCTAATTAATTTTAAGTCAATATCGTTCTCTGATTCATAATCCTTCTTGATTTTATAACTCATACTATTCTAATTGTTTTTTTCTTGGCCACAGACAAAAAAGAACAGTTCCAGTAGTTTAGATATTCAACTTCTAAATTTTGACCGAGGCAGGATATATATCCAAGATATCCTGCCTCTTCAAAACATTAATAAATTAGAACAAAACAATTTTAACCTCATGGCAAAATAAAATAAAGTATAAGCAAAGGCTGCTTAATCTAAAGCACCTTAAAATACCAAGGAATAGAAAAAATCTAAGAAGGCTAAGCAAGAATCTGAATCTGAAGATGAGCAAGAGGAGCAGGCTGAGTCTGTTGGTACAATGAAAAAATAACTAAAATAAAATGACAAAAAAGCAGTAGCAGCTCCACAGACTGGTGCAAAAGGCAAAGCTAAATAAGAAGAGAAGGCTGTAGAAAAAGATAATAAGAGTAAAAAGCGAGCAGCTAAGCCTGCTGAAAGCGATGAGGATAAGGGTGCTGAGACAAGAGATGAGGACAATGATGGAAATAATAGTGCTAGTTCCAAAGGAAGCCAAGAGTCTGAGGAGAAAGAAGTAGCTCCTAAAAAAGGCTCAAACCAAAAGACAAATAAAACCCCACCTCCATCAAAGAAATAAGTTGATAAAAAATCAACTCCTGCTTCCTAGCCAAAAAAAGAAGTGGAGAGTAAGGACAAAGATGTCAAATCTTAGAAGAAAGCTCCTCCATCAAAAGTAGTGGCATAGAAAAAGAAGGGTAAATCTAAGAAGGATGAAGATGATGACGAAGAGGCTGTAGTTCCTGGAATGAAAAAAGGATAAGCCAAGAAATCAGATGATGAATCTCATGGTAGTGCTGGTGGCAATAGAAGGTCAAATCGCATTAAAGATATCCAAGAAAAGAAGAATGGGGATGATGAATAAGATAAAAAAGAGAAAGATAAGAAAAAGAAGGCTGTAATTAAGAAGAAAAAAGATGAAGAGGAGGAAGAAGAGGACGATGATGAGGAGCAGGAAAATGATGAAACTAAAAATGATAAAGATAAAAAATCTGACAAGGACGATGAGGAGGACGAGGAGTCTGAAGAAGAGGAAGAACCAGTCGAAAAATCTAGTCCTAAAAATGATAAAAAGAAGGGGAAAGCATAACCTGCTCCTGTTTCCAAATCTAAAGTTAAATCAAAGAAAGAATAATCAGATAAGGAAGAATCTGAGAAGGACGATGAAGAATCAGATGCAAGTGAAGCAGACAATGACAACGAGGAAGAAGAAGAGGAAGAAGATAAGCCCAAGAAAAAAGCTCCTGTTAAAAAAGGATAGGCTCCAGCAAAATAAACAAAGAAGCCAGCACCAAAGAGAAAGCAGCCTGAAAAGAAAGTTTAAGTAAGGATGAAGGTTAATAAAAAGGAGGAAGAAAAGTAAAAGGATGATGATGAAAGCAATAAAGAAGATGAAGATAAAGCTTCTCAAGAAAAAGAAAAAACTAAGAAAGAAGAAAAGAGTAAAGACAAAGCTGATAAGATTTAAGATGAAGAGATGAAAGATTAATCTGAGGAAAATGAGAGTGGTAGCGGGGAGGAAGATGAGGATGAGGAAGGGAACAGCGAAGAAGACAAGGATGAAGAAAAGCCTACTGCCAAAGATGGAAAAAGTACCTCCCCTGCAAAAGGTGAAGAAAAAGATGAGGAAGTGGTTGAGGATGATAAGAGGAAGAAGAGGTAGAAAACTAAGTGATTTCTAAATGATTAACTTCAAATAATTTTTCTACTAATTGGAATATAACTCAAAATCTTTCATAAAATATTAAATTGCTTTATTGTTTAATTTCATTATTGCTCATTTATTTGATAAATTTAATCGATTCAAATTCCAACTCAAGGGGTTTTGGGGTTTTGGGG